ATTTAATTAAGTATTTATTATATATATAAAAAGTTAAAAATATAAATATTAAATGAGATCAAATTAAAAAACACATTTATATATTTTATCGATATTTTATTATAAATATAAATATTCTGGTCTATTTTATCTTGCTGTCTTTTTTGTCTTGTCCCACTTCATGTGTTTAACGTGGGTTCACAATGGGCCATGGGTGTGTCTTTCTTCTGTATTATTTTATTTGAAAGTACTATAATTTATGTACTTACAAATATTAAGAATTTAATTGATTTTAGTAAATATTTGGACATAAAATTAGTTAATATTTGAAACAGAGTTAAAAAATATATTTACATATTAAAGTTGTGCTTGGATATGAAAAAAGTAAATAAATTTTTTGTGAATGAAAACTTCAAAATTTGTATTTCAAATTAATAAATAGAAATTATTTGAAATAGTCTCCAAATATTATTTTTTATGTAGACAACAAGTCTGAACAATTTTTTATACGGGGGAAGTATAAAGTTTTTTTTTTAATCTGAAATTCGGTGAAAAGAATTACTTGCTTCCTCTATTTCTATTTAAATGTCGTCCTTACTAAAAATATATGGTCTTCAATGCATGTCATTTCACAATACCAATATATAAGTAACACTATTTTTTTTATTTTACCCTTGAAAATATGAACTAGACCAACATAGAAAAACTAAATGATTAATTCATGATCATTGGTCAATTTAAATAGTCAAAATAAATTATTTTTTGTTTATTTATTGAAAATTTGCCTTCAACAGAATACTAAATAAGAATACAATAGTAAACTTACATAGTTTCTAATGAGTCGTGAAATTTAAAATGATAATAATAGCAACGGAGGGAGTAATATTTATGCTAGTAAAAAATAATTTCCATGTGTGTGTTTTTTGTTGGCCTTTTTTAGAGGTGGCCCTAGCTAGTTGGGGATAATGACATATTATAATAGTGTGATTTATGGTCATAAAAAAAATAGTAATGTGATTTATATTTTGGGGGGGACTAATTGACATGCAAATTGTATTTATATTCAATAGGGTAAATATATGTCTTTGCTCAAAATGGTTTAGTAATTAATCCACACATTTAATTTTATCCCAAAAAAACAGCGACTTTATTAATGAGTAGTTGAGTTAGTTGGATGTGATATATATGATACAATAATACAAAAATACATTATACATCAACCATGTTGAATTATATGTTATATGGCCCTTTTTGGAGTTCAAATGCTTTTTCTTCCCCTCAATATATCAATACCTCGATTAATTTAATTTTACATTGCATAACATTTATTTGAGAAAAAGATATTTAAAAATAATATTTTTATTATTTATTCAGAACTCAATTTTGAAACATCTGGTATGTTATAGTAGTACTTCCAAATATAAGTAACAAGAGAGGGAAAAAGAATAACATATGTATTGCTGACCAGAGGTATATCCAGAATTTTGAGATGATGATGCATTATTATAAAAAAAGGTTGATCTAAGATATATACTTGACTGGTTCGACATTTAGATTCTTATTAATAAAAATCGTTAAAATTTATATATAATTCAAATTTCTAACCTCACATAAAGAGGTGTACTCAGTCATCATTGCATTATATGATACTTCGAGTATGGATTCACACATTTAACACTATAATATATGATTTCAAGAGGAAAGTGTGGGTCCACATGAACCTGGTGACCCCTGACCCCTCGAATACACCCCTGTTACTGACATATATAATACTAATAATATAATACAATAACTCACATGAATTGTTTATTTCCACAAAGATTATCCAGAAATTGTAGGGCACTAATGCCACTATCAATAAATTAGACAAAACAAATAAATACGAGTCACAATAAACATGATTCATGCCTAACCTCTGAATAAATTGAAATTAACTATATAAATCTTTATTGATCATATTTCTACATTTAAATTTTTTTTAAAAATACAACTTAGTCGAGAAGATTTGAAATACAATAATAACATAGCTAATGTAATCTCACGCTAACTCGAAATTTTGAATCTACATCTTGATCTGTCTGTAATACAGCTAGTATTCTCTTTTTCTTTTTTTGTTTAGTTTTATAATAATTAAAAAAATAAAAATAATTAGTTCTTGGTCAACAATTGCTTTTTCATGTTCCTTTACCACTTTAAAATATTGAATAATTATCTCCCTTAGAAAAATGGCACGTGAAGTATTTATTTATTTATTTCCATGAATTATTAGTGGTAATAAGACTTGGTGGAAACCTTGAAATTGATTAAAAAGTCTATAATTTTAAATAAAAAAATAATTAGAACGTGGATACCACTATTTTACAATTATAAAGGGTTGCATTTAGATTTTCCTTCTTTCTATGTACTCATCTAGTCATCATATCTTTTTTATTCTTTAATTTAATCAAAACTACTATAATTAAGTATGACAAGTTTTTTCAATAACATTTTATCTAATTTTCCATTAATAAGTTAGAAATTGCACCCGCTAATCGATTTTACATGTGCTATTTAAATTATTTCACTTGTAATTGACGTCGGTAAATTTTATTTTTATGTTGCTTATTCGTTTCCTCCTCCTCCTTAATTCCTATTTAGCATAACTTATTTTTACTTAATTCGATTTATAAAGAAGAACGATGAAAAAACTTATTTTTATTTAAATAGTATGAGATTTGTTTTTTGTTATTCCTCAATAACTTAGCAAGTAGTAGATTGATCATATGTTTCAATTCTACTTATAGAATTTGAATTTTTTTCTTAATTTTTTATTTTAATTAATAATAAAGGACTTGTTTTAATTTGTCCGCTAAACCCATTACTTATATTTATGTTGTATTTTTTCCGTTCTATTTTAAGTGTGTGATATGACACCATTAAAAAGATATAATAGATATAACATATAGTTTTATTAAAATATCCTCTCGTCTATTAATGCTTCTTTTGACCAACCTGAATTGTGGTGCATTAGTGAGAGTGTTCACCCTTAACTAGAGGTCTCGGGTTTGAGCCCTGGGTATGGAGAAAATTTTGTTGAGAGTGTCACTCCCAAATGGGCCTTGCAGAGCGCGATCCAAATTTAATCGAAGCTTTAATATGAGCTCCGGACACCGATAAAAAAACAAAAAAAAAATGCTGAAGCATTCCTCCTAAATCACTTCTGACCTCTTAATTAAGAGCAATAATAAGGTTGGAAAAAACATAATTTATGATGTCTTGATATTTTAAAGTGACAACTTCTTCCATTTCAAGGAGAATTGTTCAACGTTTTTCATAGCTCAGATTAACTTAGTTATTCATTTTTTAAATTTTTTTTAAAAACTTTTTTGGTCATATTTATCCTTCATTCTAATTTTCTATACCCTTCATTCAAATTTTCTATACGATGAACTCAAGAAACTTTAATTGATTAGTAAAGATGAGGAGTAGTTACCATGATCAATATTTAGTTATTCTAAAGAGTAATTTAAAAATAATTAAAAAGGATAAAAATAGAAAATAATGCATAATGCATAATTAATATATTAATATTTATACTCAAAGGAGGTACAATACCATAACTAGGGGTGTTCACGGGTTGGTTTGGATAGGTTATTGGTCAAAACCAAAACCAAACCAACTTAATCGGTTTTAAATTTATCAAAACCAAACCAAACCAAATATAATATACATTTATCGGTTTGGTGATTATCGGTTTCGATTTGGTTTGATTCGGTTATTCGGTTATTAACCATACACAAAAATAAAAGAAACAATTCATTTAAAATGTGAAAAAAGTGACAACAATCCATTCAAAACGAAAAATAGTTAGAATGTCTTAAATTACTGAACTTTCGATCACTAAATTTATTATCAATAAAGCTTTAAAATTCACTATATTGGCCTAGAAGGAAGAGACAATAACATTTTCAGTCCCACAAAGAATTGTCATAGACACTCATATACATGAAATCAATAAGATAAATGTTTCATCTTGGGCATTTTTGCTTTCAATAAGTAAATTATAAAGAAATTTTAATGAAAATATGTATAAGATCTTTAAAATTATTTATAAAAACAATATATTAAGTATGTATATTAATAAAATATATGTATATAATTCACCGGTTCGGTTCGGTTATTTCTTCGATTTTTTCGAATAAAATCATAATCAAACCAAATACTATTGGTTTTCAAAAATCTAAAACCAAACCAAACCAAACCCAAATAAAATCGGTTTTATTTTATCGATTTGGTTTGATTTTTCGGTTTGGATCGGTTTTTATCCAAACCGTGAACACCCCTAACCATAACAATTCACTTATTTTAAAATGGAAGGTTACAATAATTAGTGTGTTAATATTTTTTTCTCGAAAGTGTTCAATATCACTTATTTTAAAATGAAAGGAGTGTGACATTTTTTGAAGTTCTTAAAATGGGACGAACAGAACATATTGTGTGTGTTTTTTTCTCATGAAGTGTCTGAAGTCCCACATTAGCATAAAATCGAATGAATACTTTATTATTTCGCAGCAATCCTTTTTTTTTTTTCACACGATTTTTAAATTTCATATTGAAGCTTCGATTAAGTTCAGATCACGCTAGGACCCATTCGATGGTGGCGCTTCCAACATGATTTTCTTCATATCCAAGATTCGAACCCAAAACTTCTGATTAAGAATAAAACACTCCCACCAATACACCACAACTTTATGTTTGGTATTCCTGTAGCAATCCTTATCAGTAACATTATGTTATTTGAAACTAAAACATTACTCTTATCTATTCTTTCTTGTTCTAAAACACTTGTTTATTTTGTGATTCTCAAAATTTAAACTACATAAACTTTAAATACTTTATATTAACAGGAGAAATATTATAAAGTTACCTAACATGTAACTTTTTTTTTTTCATAAATTGAGAAAATATCTCACAATTTAAATATAAATAGTGTCAAAGAATTAATTTTATATTTTATCTCGAAATTATTATACGCTGCGGCTGTACCCCAAAGGTGTAGCAGTGACGACCATCGAACTGACTGCTGACACTTCACTGTAGCATTGAACAAAAATCCCATTTTTAGGTTTCCTTCAAATCTCCATTAACGACCTTCAATCTTGTCAATCTCCATTAACGACTTTCCATGTGCTAAAGTCCCTCAATTGATCTCCATTTCCAGTTTCCTTTCCTTCATCCATGGCTGAAGAATCAGAATCTGCTTCTGAACCCAACCCTAACACCCCCACCCTAACAAATCCCCCTTCTACCGACGCCATTAATGTTGTACCTCTTCAAGCTCATTCACCACCCACCAAGCTTCCTTCTCGACCCAGAAAAATCCGGAAGCTTTCCAATACTGTTGATCCCTCGCTACCCAAAACCCAGATTTCCACCATCGTGCCAAGAATCGTTTCTCGTTCACTTTCATATGAAGGTGAGCTTGAATCCGCCATTAATTACCTCAAATCCTCTGACCCATTACTCTCTCCATTAATTGAAACGTACCCACTTCCTACCCTCGAACTTTTTCAACCCCCTTTTCTTGCTCTAACAAAAAGCATTCTGTTTCAGCAGCTAGCGTATAAAGCTGGGTCATCGATTTACACTCGATTTATATCTCTTTGTGGTGGGGAATCGAATGTGGTGCCAGATATGGTTTTGGGATTAACACCACAACAGCTTCGTCAAATTGGGGTTTCTGCTAGAAAAGCAAGCTATTTACATGACCTAGCAAGGAAGTATCAAAATGGGATTTTGTCGGATAAGTCGATTGTGGATATGGATGATAAATCCCTTTTTACAATGCTTACTATGGTGAATGGAATTGGGTCTTGGTCAGTTCATATGTTTATGATTTTTTCACTTCATAGGCCGGATGTGTTGCCGATACATGATCTTGGTATTAGGAAAGGGGTGAGAATGTTATATGGTCTTGAGGATCTTCCTAGGCCATCACAGATGGATCAGTTGTGTGAGAAATGGAAGCCTTATAGGTCGGTAGCTTCGTGGTACATTTGGAGGTTTGTAGAGGCAAAGGGGGGGAATTCGAAAGGCAATGTGGTGGGGAACTCTGATGTTAGTTTACAGCAGCAGATGTTGTCAATGCAGCAGCAACAGCAACAACAACAACAACAACAACAACAACAACAACATCAGCAGTTCTTGGATCCTATTAATGGGATTCTTGATGTTGGGTATGTTTCCCTTTCGTGTCTAGTTTGCGATTAATCCTTCAGTAATTGTCATACATCTTTTCCGGTGTTTTTCCATGTATGTTTATTGCATTTTCAATTGTTTGTTATGATGTTTATCGGTAGGGGGAAGTTGGTTGATTACTTTCAGGTAAAACTTGTCTTTGCAATAGTTTAGTTACAGAGTGGTTAGTCATTTGATCCCCACCAAATTAAGAAAGAGCTGTCACAATGGATAAGTAAAAGAACAATGAAGAAACAAATGGCTATTAGTTTCTGTGTTAGACTTTCGCTTAGCGTATATAATAAAATAGAGTGAAAAGGTCCACCCTGAAACCAAGGGGGTCACAAAACAAACATACGGAACATAACTGGAATCCTCTTCTTCTCAACCTTTCTTGAGTCAAAGCTGCCAGGTGAAACATAGAACTTTTGGAGGAGCATTATAGAATTCCATGGCCAATCAATAATCTGATAAGCATAGTTGCTGATTGCTAAATAGGTAGACTTGACTGTGAAAGCCCCATCTTTGCATGGATTCCAATACAATTTGTCCTCTGCTTCTGATAGCCCCTAAAACTCTTCCAGAGTCTTAAAGAACTCGACCGCTCCTTTAATTTCCCAATCATTTAGGATCCTCCTCAAAGTAATGCTCCATGCTTGTAGTTCCTTAGCTGTGGCTAAGTAAACATTTGGAGAAGTTGATCTGTTGAACAGATCAGGGAAAAGATCTTTCACGCATTCATGCCCAAGCCAGTTGTCTTCCCAGAACAAAGTCGTTCTACCAATACCAACTTGGATATTTGAATTCTTTAGCAGTGTGTGTTCCAATGAGATCTAATGGATCTCCACACCCCTACTCCATAAGGACTGTTAACAGGACCTGTGCACCAAATCCCCTCCTGACTATATTTGTCAAGAATTACCCTTCTCCATTAACTGTCCTCTTCCTTAGTATACCTCCATAGCCATTTCATCAGTCGACTTGTATTTTGAGCATTTAAGTCCTTAATTCCCAGACCCCCTTTTGATTTGGTGGTGATTAACCCCTTCCTGCAAACTAGTTCAGGGCTGAGCTTTATCAAACCTTTTCTGGTTTAATGTGCTAGTTTGTAATATTATATTACCATGTCAACCAAAAAAGAAAAAAGAGGTGCTACTTACTCTAATCCCTCTTAACTAAACAACTTTGTCATGTGACTCCAACATCATGCTTATACTTGTGGAAGTATTAACTATGTACTTAATTCTAATGAGCAAGTAAAGCCTTCCTAGCCCCTCTATGTACGAATTTTTGGAGGTCACCAGCATAGCCTTAATGCTGAGGAATACAACATTACTAATTTTAAAAAAAAAAAGAAAAAAGAGGTGCTACTTACTCTAATCCCTCTTAACTAAACAACTTTGTCATGTGACTCCAACATCATGCTTATACTTGTGGAAGTATTAACTATGTACTTAATTCTAATGAGCAAGTAAGCCTTTTTTTACCCAATGAAGTTCTAACGAGAAAGTAAACACCATTGATTGAATTTTTCATATTCAGGAGTTAAGTGATTTAAGGGTCTAAGGATGCGAACAACCAAGCTAAGTAATTTAAGGGGCTAAGGATGCGAAACCAAGCTAAAGTATGAATCTGGTGGAATTTAGGAGCTTGCTAATTGGAAAAGAGCGGGTCCAGCACAACTTAGTTATGCTTTTCATATTCTCGACATGTGCTTCACAAGTTTATTCCATCTACGTTTATATTAAAATTTTGTGTATACACATTCTTGAAATAAAGGTTGAAATATAAAACATAAAAGTATTGAAGTGAAATGTATACTCGCGATCTTTCTCATTTGGTTCATCAGTACTGACCTGTTGATTGCATAGTGATTCTTAACCTTTTTTGGCCTTTTGTCGGTTCTCTTTTTTTTCTTTTACTGATGAAATTATTCCTTGAGGAATAGTTTGTCATACTTTCTGGTTCAATAACCTTTTGAAGTGCCACACAGGGGCCTCTGGATTTCTCTTTTCCCTGAGGAGGTTTGAGCTGGTTGTATAAGGCACTGGAAATCCACTCGGGATCAAGTTAGAACTAGTCCTAATCAGCTTCCAGTAAAATGAGGCACTTAAAACGACTAACGAAAACTTAATGGCAAGTTTTGTGTGCCATAATCAGTACAAACACAAACTATTGGGAAGATGAGCGAGTAGTTATGTTTATCCGTCCAATCTCCGTACATGCAGATCATAATTTAGTAGCACATAAAGCATAGCACTCAAGGGTGTGGTCTAATGATCAATAAAGTGAGTTCATATAGAGACCAGGATTCAAATGTCAATTGAGACAAAAACATAAGGTGATTTCTTTCCATTTGTTAAGCCTTGAAGGGTAGAATTACATGTACCTGTGATGGTGGGAGATTGCAGGTACTCGTGGAATAGTTGAGGTGTTCCTAAACTAGCTCAGACTCCAGTTATAAGGGGGGGAAAAGAATATGCACATAGGACCTTCAGTTAGAGGACACAACTTTGAGTAATCTCCAAAAATTTAACAGAAGCATGTTTTGAATTCATAATTGTAAAATGCAATGAATTCAAGATAAATATTGAATCCATCAAGTTTAAATCCTGAATCTACCTCTGATATCGGTCATGTGGCAAGATCAGTTGCCCCTCCCCCCCCCCCCCCCCTCTCTGTTTTTTCCTTGGTATAAGATTCATTTTAGTCTTTTCTTGTAGCTACAACCCTTTTATTTTTCTTCTTTTGCTAATCTTGAAGTGATCAAATACAGGGCATGTGCATGGGGACAGTAATTGAAGTTCACATGGTTGTCAGTGGCCGTGGAGGCTTATTTTTGGGATAGCAAATTGCTGAAATGTTAGCCACAGGTTGTCTACATTTACTGGAAAAATCAAGCTGAGAACATTGTAAATTCACTTAGTACGTTCAACAACTACTCCTGACATGTTTAAGATTCTAAGATTAAAGAGTATTTTGGTACACTGTGCATTTTGTAGTTTAAGATCACAAGATTTAATAATCTTCTTTACTTTCTTAAACTTCATACCAAATCAAACTCAGACAAACAAATTAAAACGGAGGGAGTATTTACTTCTTAGATGCTATGACAAACAGAAACATACAAAGTATTTACTTCTCAGATGCTATGACAAACAGAAACATACAAATTCACCACACAATCATATGGTATCAAAAGATATTCCAAGGTACCAATATATAACAAACTTGACTAAAATAATTTCTGCATGTATAAAAGAACTCGACTGCTCCTTTAATTTCCCAATCATTTAGGATCCTCCTCAAAGTAATGCTCCATGCTTGTAGTTCCTTAGCTGTGGACAAGTAAGCATTTGGAGAAGTTGAAATGTTGAACAGATCAGGGAAAAGATCTTTCACGCCCAAGCCAGTTATATTTGAATTCTTTGGCAGTGTGTCCCAATGAGATCTGATGGATCTCCACACCCCTACTCTATTAACATGACCTGTGCACCAAATCCCCTCCTGACTATATTTGTCAAGAATTACCCTTATCCATTAACTGTCCTCTTCCTTAGTATACCTCCATTGCCATTTCATCAGTCGACTTGAACTAAACAACTTTCAGTGACTCCAACATCATGCCTATACTTATGGAAGTATTAACTATGTACTTAATTCTAATGAGCAAGTAAGCCTTTTTTTACCCAATGAAGTTCTAATGAGAAAGTAAACACCATTGATTGAATTTTTCATATTCAGGAGTCAAGTGATATAAGGATGCGAACAACCAAGCTAAGTGATTTAAGGGGTTAAGGATGCGAGATCAAGCTAAAGTATGAATCTGGTGGAATTTAAGAGCTTGCTAATTGGAAAACAGCGGGTCTAGTGATATGTTTAAGACCACAAGATTAAAAAAATATTAAAATTTTGTGCTTCACAAGTTTATTCCTTTTAAAATATTAAAACTAAGTTATGCCTTTTCATATTCTCGACATGTGCTTCACAAGTTTATTCCATCTACGTTTATATTAAAATTTTGTGTATACACATTCTTGAAATAAAGGTTGAACATATAAAACCAGGGGTGGCTCAATGCCTTAAAAATTGAGGCATATGCCCTTTAGTCCCCCAAAATCGAAGGACCTAACTTTTTAGTAATAATAAAATTATTATAAGCCCTTTTTAACAAAAAAAATATACTATATTTTTTTAATTTATTTGTCGTTTTTTAGTTTGTTTTGAAACATTAAAGAATGTTTCTTTTTTATGGATCAATATTTAAATTTAACTTCCACCTAATATGTTTAAGACCACAAGATTAAAAAATATTATATATATATATATATATATATATATATATATATATATTCATTTCAATCTTTTCTTGTAGCTACAACCCTTTTATTTTCTTGTTTTGCTAATCTTGAAGTGATCAAAATACATTTAAAAAGTATTTTGGTACACCGTGCATATCTTTAGTTTAAGATCACAAGATTCAATAATCTTCTTTATTTTCTTAAACTTCATACACAAATTAAAATCAGACAAATAAATTAAAACAAAGGGAGTATTTACTTCTCAAATGCTACGACAAACAGAAACATACAAATTCACCACACAATAATATGGTATCAAAAACACATGAATAACACATGAAAAAGAGACAAAAATATGGCATATAACCTATGGTCTTGTAGGAGATACATGCCGTGTAAATTTTGGAAAATCAAAAGTACCCATTACACCCATATAACCAACTACTCCAACCAGAGGCGAATCTAGAATTTCAAGAAAACGGGTGCACCATTGTCAGGGGCGGCTCTGTCCCTTTAAGAAAAAAGGGCAACTAATTTAGGCTTTCAAATTTGAGGGGCCTTATTTATTTTAGCAATAATAAATATAGGTTTTTCATAAGAAAATTATTAAATACATTTGCAAAATAAATAAATTTTATTATAAGAAAAAGTCATTAGAAGAAGTTTAAAAAAGGCTGAATGCAGAAACTCTTTTGTGAATTTTCACATCTGGGAATCGATCCCTCAACCTCAAAGTGGATAACTGACACTCAAACCAGTGAACCATCCAGTTGTTTGTGTTCATGGGTTCATTCAATTGCTATTTGATATATTTTAAGAATTCTACAAGTAATACATCGAGTTTTGTCGGATGACCACGGGTTCAAGTGACCCATTTTTTAAGCTTAAATTCGCCCCTGACTCCAACGGATATGAGGAGTAATATTATCAAGGGTATAACAAAATATAAACCCCTCTCTATAATGCAATAAATACACATAGGATAAAACAATCGAAACCAAAAGAAAACACGACGCCAACAACATTAAGAGCTCCGTCCATGGCTGCTTTTCTTCGTTAGCATTACATGCACACCATTCCAGATCTTCTGCCCGTTGTCTTTCTTGTTCTCTGTGATGATGTTCTGCTTCAAGATTTCTGTGATAAAATTTCTCAACTAGAGTCATGTTGAATACCTACAAGAATAATCATTAAATGAGATATAAATGATATAAGAAAACAATTATTGTATTAGTGAAGATTATAACTTTCTTTTATGAGTTTTATAAAGACTAACTAAGAATAAATTCTTCCTCTTATATAATTGTAGGCCTAACGTAAATCCGATTCATGTGATTGAAACACTTTCATGAAAAAATGAAATTAACAACTGTTAGGGTTTTGCTCGAATTTTCTTACCATATTTAAGTTTTAATTTTCACTTAAAGTACACCACGATATGCAGGTCGACTACAAGTGATACATACAGTCTTGTTCTCTATACAAAGTTTTTTTTGGGGGGGATTTTTATCCTTCCACAGAGTGTATTGAAAGAAGTGGACAAAATCTGTAGAACATATCTATGGGGAGGGTCTGAGGATAAAAGAAAGGTGGCATTAGTATCATGGGAATTGAACATATATGCTTTCCAAAGAGTCTAGGAGGATCAAGCATTAAAGGTAATACTAACTGGAATGTTTCCTTTGTGGGACAACTTATTTGGCAATTAACAGTCAACAAGGAGTCATTATGGGTAAAGTGGGTACATGGCATATATATAAAATAGGATATCTCTATTTGGCAACACACAGCCCAGTGAACAGTAGTTGGTATTGGCGGAAACAAACTTCTCTCAAGGCACAAATGCATCAATGGTACATTCAAGACAGGTATCAGCTCACAAAAGATGGGGAGTATTCTATTACAAGTAGCTACTTGGCAATCATAGGTCAGAGACCGAAATTGAAGAATGCAGAATTAATATGGACCTCAATGGCTTTGCCTAGGCATAGATTTTTTGTATGGTTGGTTGTACATGGTAGGCTGCTAACACAAGAGAGGAAAGTGAGTCTCCACATTCAAGATGATGAGACCGATTATTGCCTCTGTAATGAACAAGTGATGGAGACTAATTCTCACTTGTTTGAGCATTGTAGATGGACTTAAGAAGTATGGCTGGAGGTATCTTTTTACAGTTGTTACCAAAAAATAATAATTCAAAGCATAAAGTTGAAATAAAGTTTTTGAATTTACCGAACTCACCCGAATGGATTGAATGCACCGTTTCGATTCGCACAAAGTCTTCGAATTCTTGATTTTGACCAATTGATCAGGAACATTGAGCCAGACACTGTTTCAAAAGAAAAGAAGAAAGACTTTTAAAATGGGAAAAAAATTCAAAGCACGAAGTTGAAATAAAGTTTTTGAATTTACCGAACTCACCCGAATGGATTGAATGCACCGTTTCGATTTGCACAGAGTCTTTGGATTCTTGATTCTAATCAATTGATCAAGAACCAATTGATCCAGACACTGTTTCAAAAGAAAAGAAGAAAG